GTGAATATAACAGACACAACCAAAAACCTTAGGAGTCGGGAAAAATAAAGGCTTATCGAAAAAAAGAACAGAATATGAACTTTGTCCATTTAACACAGGGGATGACATACAATTGATAAGATGACAAGCAGTAAGAACATCACTCCAATAATATCGGGGAATATTCATCTGGAATAACAGGCACGAGTGACTTCCAACAAATGACGATTCTTGCGTTCAGCAACACCATTTTGTGGAGAGGTGTAAGCACAAGAAGTCTGATGAATAATGTCAGTTTTACTAAGATATGCTAAAAAAGAATCATATTCATATTCCCGAATATTATCGGAACGTAAAGTACGTATATGACAATTAAACTGAGTTTTTATTTCCTTACGAAAAGTCTCAAATATAGAGAATAATTCAAACCAAGCTTTCATCAAAAACAACTAAGGCACACGAGAATAGTCATCCACAAATGTTACAAAATAAGGATATTTATTAGATGAAATATTCTTTATTGGACCTCATACATTAGAATGGACTAATTCAAATGGACTAGACACACGATTATTGACTCTAGACTGAAATAACACACGATGATGTTTACTAAGTTGACAAGCTTCACAAGACAAAAACGACACATAACTAAGACTGGGAACTTGGTGTTTCAGATTCTGGAGAGAGGGATGTCCAAGACGACAATGCCATTGAAACGAAGACAACGACGTCTGTAGAGCCTGGGTAGGTGAATCAAAGTCAAGATAATATAGGCCACCAGCTTCATACCCCATACCAATCTTCCTCTTCGTCTTGAGATCCTGAAAGACACAATAAGAGGGATAAAAGGTTACAGAACAACTGAGAAAATGGGTAATCTTACTAATGAAAAGTAATCTAAAAGGAAATTGATGAACAAATAACACGGAGGATAGAGACATATCAGGACTCAAGTGAGTAGTCCCCAAACCTGAAACTTTAGAACAAGTACCATTAACAAAAGTAACACTATGTGTGAAAGTAGCAGACTGATAAATAGTAAAAACATCAGACGCACCAATCATGTGGTCAAAGGCGCTAGAGTCTATAATCCAAGGACTGCCAGTGGAGGACAATAAACAAGTGGAAGCAGTACCTGACTGGGCAAAAGTAGCAGTGGAGGGAGATGGAACAGTCTGTTGCTGAGACAGGAACTAAGCATACTCTTTTCGTGTAATAGTAACCGATCCAGTATCTGGTGGAGCTGATCGAGGTATGGAAGCCACAACAGAGGTGTCATCCTGAGAAGAAACCTGATTCGTAGTACCAGAAGGTTTTCCATGTAAATCCCAACAGAAATCAACAGTATGCCCTCCACGACCACAGTGAATACAGGAACGTGGTCAACTATGGCCCCCACGACCACCTTGCTCGGACTCCCGTACGACCACCACGACCGCCTTGATGACCATCACTATGGCTATTAGGAACCACAAGAGTTGAGCGATCAGTGGAAACACCAGAATTGATACATGAAGTAGACAAAGTAACACGCTGTATACGAGAGAAAACCTCAAGTAGTGAGGGAAGAGTAGAACCACCCAAAATTTGAGAACGAATACTCTCATATTCAAGTTTCAAATCTACCAAAAATCTAACAACATTCATGTCCTCATGTTGCTTCTGCCAAACTGCTGCATCAGTAGTAAATGGATGGTAGGTCTTCATCTTCTCACAGACCCCCTGAACTTGAGAGTAATAATATTCAATGCTCAGATTACTCTGTTCCAGCCGGAAATACTCCTTGCACACCTCATAAGCTCAGGGAAAATTGCCTGTACCAGAATACATAGTGGTCAAGGTAGAGCAGAGTAGAACTAATACTAGGCTCAATGTTATTCAATAGTAAAGAAATAATTTGAGCATCCTGTTGTTCCCACTGATCATATCCAGGAGTGTCATCCTTGGATTTAGGATTCACCAAATATTTCTTAAATCCTTTGTCTCGAATAAAAACTTGAACAGATCGGGACCATAAAGTGTAATTAGTCCTATTAAATTTGACAGAGGTTATGAGACCATTAATAAGAGTCAAATGAGGCAAAGATGGAGTAAGAGACTTGGTATCTTGTTTGGGTTCCATAATAGTGCAGCAAATAGCAAACAAGAAGTGTGACAATGCTAAACCAGAAAAAAAGTGTTGGAAGACTGAACCAGACTGAAAAGAGGGGCTGGACCACTGAACCGACCAAGAAATGGCCACTGGACTGCTGAACCAGCCAAGAAATGACCACTGGACTGCTGAATCGACCAAGAAATGGCCACTAGACCGCTAGACTGGAGAAAGAACAGATGGGACAGGTTTGAACCAGTGTACCCTTCACTGAACTGGGACTGAACCGATGTAAATCTTACTGAACCGGGTTGAGCCGGTCCTGGACCAGGTTGTTTTGGATTGGCTTGGATCTAGACTTAGCCAACCCAAACCCAACCTAGGAGAATGAGATTGTCTTCCTCCCAAACAAACCCTAATGCTCCTCACTGTTAATTACACCTGGTATCCAGCAGCACCACCACACAGCCACATAACACCACCATGCAACCACACGACACAAATGGCACACCCAAACCTATTCGACTACCACCATAGCCACCAGTCGGTCAAACCAATCAACTACAACTACCACCACCACTACCAGACAACCACTCCACAGTGCTTGAATGAGACACCACCAATGTCAATCTTCTCGTTACACTCAACCATCGACGACGACGACGACAGTAGGCATAACGACGACAACAAAGAACCCTTGATTTAATATTTAGATTTAAAATTGTTTTACTTTGATACCCATGTTAAGTTTGGAGAATTAACACAATATTAGAGAGAAACAGAAAGTGGTCAAAAACGTAATTTAGCTCTCATACATCACTTGTGTTTATAGTTAACCTACAATAATAAGAATTATACATACACCCTCTTATTATTAACAATTCACACATACTGCCTTACTATTCTTAACAACCTCAATACTATTCAGTAATAAAGAAATAATTTGAGCATCTGCTTGCTCTCACTCATCATAACCAGGGGTACCTTCTTTGGGTTTAGGATCCACTAAATATTTTTTGAGACCTTTTCCTTTTAGAAATACTTGAACTGATCGTGACCATAAAACATAATTTGTCCCATTAAGTTTGACTGACGTCATAGGACCATTAAATAAAGCAGTAGAAGGCAAACCAAGTGGCACAGTTGGAGAAGTAACAACAGATATATCATCGTTCTTGGATTCCATAGCAAGAGGTAGGTTGAACAGTGCAAAAGAAAGACTGCTCCGTGATGCACAGTACTGGACAGTAATAATCTAGAGTTGAACCGAACAAGGAAACTTGTTGGATTGCTGAACCGGCCAAGAAAGATTCGCTAAACCGGATGAAAAATTGGAAGAACCGGTGGAAAATTGACCAAACCGTGACTGAACCGGTCTTGGTTTGGATCTAGGTCTGAACCGATCTGGGTCTGGATCTGGATTGGGCTTGAGACTAATTTATAGCCCGCAGACTTAGACCCGTTACCCAAACCCGCACCGACCCGTGAGGGTTGTCTTCTTCCACGAACTAGGGTTTCAACCAAGCACTGTTCGTTGGCAGTGCTCACACCAGTCGACACCACTGAGAAATCCCAGCAGCCACACCACCACAGAAGCCACCGGAGGCCACACCAGTCGACGACACCACACACACAAGCAACGATGGCACTACCATAGCAACGAATAGCAATCCCAACAACGACCGAGGGACATCAACTACGACACCACATCACCACCACAATGAACAACACCAAGAGCAGCTCAGTAGAGATCACACCATGAACCACATCACTACCATTGCAACGAATAGCAATCCCAACAATGACTGAGGGACATCAACTATGACACCACATCACCACCACAATGAACAACACCAAGAGCAGCTCAGTAGAGATCACACCATGAACCACATCACCACCTTGAGTTCACACCGAAGCTTCACTGGTGGGGATGCACAGAATTAGTGCAAACCCATTTGACAGCCGGACTCAATGAAGACGCAAACCAGGAAAAAAAAAAGAAGGGATGGAAGAGAAAAGAAAAGAAAAGAAAGAAGAGAAAGAGAAGGAAAAAAAAGAAGATGATTACGAGGATTAATAGGATTCTTGCTCTGATACCATGTTAAGATTAGAGAGGAGCTTAACACAATATGAGAAAGACAAAGAGAGGTTTTGGCGTGACCTACCTCTCACTATTGGCTTTATAATTATAGTCACTGAACAAAGAAAATAAAATACAAGTATACCCTTTGTGTGGTATACATAAATGTAAATCCTAATTACATTATAGTAACTTTCCTAATTGTATTATAGTAACTTTCTCAACACTCCCTCTGCATTATCTCAGCTGATGAACCTGTAATCAACTGAGTAAATAATTCAGGATCTTGATCCTCTACTCTCTTTGTTGTAAACCTTTCGTCAAGTGAAATCTGGTATTACTATGTCTTATGCATGTTCCATGCCTGTGTTTGTTATGTCCTATGTATATGCTCACTACAAAGCCTGCATAAAACATGGTATGATCCCCGCCTTTGTTGCTTTTTAGCTCATTTATTGGATACTGTTTCCTTAGCCCCCAACAATTTATGTACCTCTGGTTGGTAAAGCATGCTCCATAAGCAATTCCTCCCTTCTCCCACAATAATCGACTCATCTTCAAGTACGTTTGCCCATCATTGACTTTCTTCTTTATTTTTTTCCTCCTGCTATTACTAGATTAACATTCTATATGAATGATGTAAGCCCATAGTGTCATGGAATCCACTAGTTTGTTGTTTAGGGTCTTACTTATACATAGGTGGTTGGAAGCTTAGGAGGAGGATGTGCTTGCATTATAATAGAAGTTAAATATCATAATTATTGCTCTAAGAGAAAATGAAAAGGAACTCTTAATTCTTTTTGGTCCCTTACTAACTGTGAACCAATTCTATTTCATTTGTTTTCTCAGGCTTTGTGATGAAGCTACAAGTGCACTTGATAGCACATCAGAGGCTGAGATTTTACGTGCATTCAAGTCCAGTGCAAATAATCGAACTTCGATCTTTATTGCACATAGGCTGACAACTGCGATGCACTGTGATGAGGTAAAAGGCATTCTTGATATTGAATATGTTCCTCTTATAGAGCTACCCATATCAGGTTATATTCATGTCTTCTCTTTTTTGTTTCCATGGACTCGGAGCTGTATTTGCGTGTTTGACTGGGAAATTTTTAGTGCTTTCCTAAGACAATGATTATCACACCACAAATATCACAATGTCACAATGTTCACCTACTTCACCCCAATGACCTTTGTGACCTTTACCACCTTTGGCATTATATCTCAACGCCAAACTGTTCCATTGTACTTCCACTCCTAGTTTTCCTGTAGGGCTTCAGCTCCATGCCCATAAATGATAGTGAAAAATCTCATACCTTGAATTGAGGGTGTCGAAAAGACCAGTATACGATTGTCGAGAGAAACAAACAAAAATGGACCTTCGTCCTAAAAAATGAAAAAATTGCCAGAGATTGGGGTTGACTGGCCTGCTTCAGGGGCGTCCAGTCTGTCCTGGAATGACTGGACTAGTTTCATGAAAGCTGAAATTTTTCCATCAGTTTTGGGAACGTCATCTTGGCGGCCGTTATCCCGAGGATTATACCGCCCAGAGGTTATGTTGTCTCGATTTGCTTGTTCTTCATTTGAACTGCTAGCATCACTAACCCTTATGTCACTAGCCGAGGGTAGGGACACCCGATAGTTATGTTCCGGTCTTACTCATTGAATTTTTGGTTATTGCATGGTGATCCCAACATACTCCGTAGATTTGACATAACTGATTTTGTTCGTTTTCCTATAGACGGCGCCAATCGAGGGAAAAATCTCGTACCTCGAATTGAGAGTGTCGAAAAGACCTGTGTACGATTTTTGAGAGAAACGACCAAAAGTGCACCTCCATCCCGCAAAATGAACAAATTGCCACTGACTGGGGGTTTACTGGCTGGACGTACTCTGATACTTAAGTCTTTAAGGTTTCTGAGAATAAATAAGTAAATTGCGGGAAAAAAAGTGCGTACTTTAGACCTAAATATTAACTAGTATTTATAGTAGTATGTTCCTTCTTCTAGAGTTTCACTATTGGCTGCACAAGACGGCATACTTATTTTTTAGCTAATTTGTGCTGAGGATATAGGCTATTTTAATTTGTGCTGGAATCTTTCTATGTTTCCTTATCGGTTTTACACCGCCCCTAATTACTGAGGATATAGGCTATCCCTTAGTTCGGTCTCATCCTTGGTGAAAGTTGTGTTGCTAATAAACGCCAACTCTTATTTCTTGCTTGGGCTTGCCCATTGCTTGGTTTTCTAGTTGACCAAATAACTTCATTATTTGCTTGGCTTGGTCCTGAACCTATTTGGTGGGGGTGAAACATAACTCGGTTAGCCGAACCACTGCTCTGTCAGAGGCATTTTGCCTATTAGTGTTTCACTCTTCATCACGTGATACTTGATGGTTAAATCATGTGCAGCAGTTCTGAACCTTCTTTCACTGTTAATGCATTATTTTCGCATACCTCTCAATTTTTTGTCTTTCCCCATCAGCATGATGGGGAAAATGGGAATAGAAATGGCTCAAGGTTTTCTATTTTATTTTATTTTTTTGACTGAATAAGTACTTCAAAAAAGAACACTACGAAGCAATCCCAGTAATAATCGATTATGTTTATTCAAGTATACATCAACAAATCATTTCATTTATTAAATTCCCTTATCTGTTATACAGTGTTCACAATGTCTGATAACAAACGATAAGGTGGCATTGAGGGGATAGTTTTTTGTTGGCTACTCTTTGAATGGTCATATCTCTTGTGGGACGAGGGGTGATTGTGCATAAAGATGATTTTTCTCAGTGATCCAAGTATCTGTCGCAGGGATGCCTTCTCCAAGATATATATATTCACCATATTCCTGTCAATTCTAATTTCAAATTTGGCGTGTAATCATTTTGTAGTTATCAATGTTCTTCCTATGCACTAAGATTCTTTAATTCGATTCATTTGTTTCCATGCCTCTTAATCCCCTCTATTTGTTAGTTATAATTGGCAATTTTGATTTATGGTTTTCAGATTATAGTCCTGGAGAATGGGCGGGTGGTGCAACAAGGACCACATGACGTTCTTTTGTCTAAAGTAGCAGGGAGATATGCAGAGCTTTGGGCACAGCAAAATAACGCTGTTGATGGAGTGGATGGAACTATCAAAATGGAGACATGAGTAGTTTCATTTTTTTTTTTCATTTTCGGCACATTTGACATTTCCCAAACCCTGCATTGCAAAGAGGAGACCGAGTGTATCTCTCTTTTCCCTAGCAAAATTCATCGTAATTATAGCACTTGCAAATGATATTTTACTGTAATGTTTATATCGCAACTAACTTGACACATTCTAACCACTATTGTAAAGTGTTTCGTAAATCCCCCAACTGTAAAGTGTGCTTTGATCTTTCCTAAGAGCACCATCTAGAACAAATGATGGAAACATTTCGAAATGAGCGAGTCGCTCCGGACATATCACCCAAGGGGTGATTGGCTTAGCATCGAACGGGAAAGTCTACAGTATCTAAAGTTATAATTTTTTTTTTTATGTTAAAATTATATTTTTAAAAAGAAAAGTTTTAATGGCCGAAGAAAATGTCTTGATCGATCAGTGATACCCGGTTATGATTGATCATGGATTTCTCTTGAGCAGTTATTATTTTTCTGTTAGGAGTTATAACTTGATAGTTTAAAGTATCGATAGCAATCTTTATGATCGATTGTGTCTTTTATAAGTTGTAATTTACACTTCAAAAAAATTATAATTTACTTTAAAAAGTTATTATTTTTGGTATCATGTCGTTGGGGCGCATCAATTAAGAGGTGATTGCACACGTAACAAATGAGAATTCAATCATATCTTTCAAATATTTTTTTTTTTTTGCACACAATAAATTTAAAGGGTTAATAATATTTTTAGTCTTTAAAGTATGTATTTTTTGTTAGTCTGATTTTTTAAATGTTAATTTTGTTAATTTGATTGTTAAAATATTCAATTCGTGTCACTTTGATTTTCAATCAAATAATTCGATAAGTTTTTTGACGTAAGTGATTACGTATCACTTTTTTAAGACAGTATTACATATCTAACATGTGCTCATTCTGTAAAAAATATAACGATCTGTTCATATAAGAATTATTTTAATACGAATTGAATATTTTAAAGATCAAACTGAAAAAGAACAGTTTG